TTCTCTTGGTTTGAGAGGGGCAGACTTTTTAATAAAAATTCAGCAGATTTGAGATTCTCTCTTTTCTCGATCGTTTTTACGCTGCGCCTACATCAAGATGTAAGTACTATAACAACAACAACAACAACGACATAGCCTTTTTGTCCCAAACAAGTTAGTTGAGGTAGGCTCGAGATGAAACCTAAGAGAACCAATGGTAAGGGCTCAAAACAAAAGGAAGAGATTGGAGCAAAAGTCACGGTTCTGGCAAAGACTAATGAGCACCATAACCATTGAACAACACTGGGAGAGTAACAAATAACCATTGAACAACACTGGGATAGTAACAAGTAGAAAATATTCAGCGTACTTCCATGAAACAAATATATTCAGAAGAACCCAATCTCGTGATCAAAAATAAAAATATTTATATATATTATTAATCCTTCCGTAAATTAAGTGGTAAGTGTCAATATAGGTACATAAAGATTACTTGTTGAATTACTTTTAGTTTCTGAGACTGATTACTTGAATCAGGTGTTGATTAGTTTTAATAATACTACAATGAGAAAAAGTAATGAATATTAATAAATAAAAAAAAAAGTAACTATACTTTTTATGCATATTTTCGATTAATAATACAATGTGGCTCTGCTACTTTTGCGAATGTTTTATTTTTTGAACTATGTTGTGTTCATCCATTTTTAACTACACTAAGATACAAAATAATTTACTTATGAACCACAGAATCTCAAGAGGTTATAAATAAACTGAGGTCTTAAAGCTCATACAAAAACAGAATGTCAAATAAAAGGAACACATCTTCCATTGATGCCAGATTTTCCTTCAGACCAATGACCAAAAAATTTCATGACCCTAAACCAGTTACCGATCGATAGTACCATCATTTCGATTTTCCTTTATTAAAGGATGACCCTTTTTGCGGTTTCTTCTTGAAAGATTTCTTTCCGGGCTTCAACTTGCCTGAAGTCGATGATTGTCCACTTTGCTTTCTTTGTTTCTTCTCCTTCTTCACATTGTACATGTTCACAGCCTAAATAGTAAATCCCCACATGAGCCAAACAAGATCAGAAAAAATAAACTTCAGACTGAAAATTGATGAATAATAAATAATTCACCCATTAAGTAAAGTAAGTACCTTTTCAACATTGAGTATCTCGTGCGAGTTTTTCGAAATCAATCTATTCAAGACTTTCTCGGTTTGCTGCCTCTCCATTGCACCCATTCCCGATCCTTCTACAGTCGGCAGAAACTGCATAACAAGAACTTAAAAAACTAATCCACCATAAACATTACCACCCTTTTGCCTTTTGCATTAGCTCGAAAAAAAATAAATACCCATGGTTTTTTAAGCTGTTTTTTCTTTAAGAAATAAATGTGGATGGCCGATTTTCATTCTCGGACAAATCATCGTTTAGAAAGGGCAAGAAAAAAAGGAATCTTGAGGGTAGTTTGGGGAATTAACTTTTAAATAATTCAATATAGTAACAAGATTCAGACCTTCCTATATTTCTTTTCATGCTTTGGGGGCTTCTCTCCAGCCAATTTCTTGTCGAATTTCCCACCACTAGCAGTTGAAGTTGCCGCCAAACCAGCAACATTTTGAAGCTCATCTTTGCTTACTTTCTTCGGATTTGCTTTTGTTCCTGTGATGGGCAATGAGGTGGCTGCAAGTTGAATATGGCTGCAAAAATCAAGCAAAATCAGATTTACTATCACAGCAAAACTGAGCTTCTAACTGGGAACCTCAAATTGCATTTTTGACAAGTAAAAACAAGTTAAATGCAAGAAAAAAGTGCACATAGCAGCATCAGTTCTATAATATTCAAGAATCACATGAAAATAGACTGTTTCACCATAGCTCAAGTTGTTAAAAGTAAAAAACTCAAGGACTATCAGATGAGTGTCAAAAAGTTGCATGAAAAATGAAAAAATAATCTAATGACGGGTCAAGAGAAAAACCTCGGCAGGGCACCAACTTTCTGTGCTTGTTTCAAGTTACCCAACCGATTTTTCTCTTGTTTCTCAACTCTGCTTTTCTTCTCCTTACGTCTCTCGGCAAAAGGATCTGTTCCTGGTTCTGGAAAAGTTCAAAAAATTTAAAAAAAATAAATGACTTGTTAGAATCTAAATAGGTTCAACACTTCTAGTCCAAAGGTAAATTGCTTACATAATGAGAAACAAAAATTGCACTGAAATATTACATACCATCAGTTGCCTTGGCCTCGATGATTGGGA